CTCCCTTCCCTCATATGTAAGCTGTTTCCAAATCTTATTTTTCATCCTGATGAATTGCACAAAGATTGTCTTTTCTTAGGGTTATTGCTGCGATGCCTGCTGAAAGGCCCTTTTGCCTGAACTGCCCTCATTCACCACATCATCTGATTCTATCCCTGCTTGCCCTATTGGATGTTTCCAGATGCACCTGCGAAAACACATTCCTGCCTCACTGCTACCCACCTTTGGGTATCACTCCACCCTCCTGTTTTTCAGTTTTGTCCAACTTTGGTTCTCAAAATCTGCCCAGAATACAATCAAAACATAATATCCTTTTTTGTCAAGGAAGACACATATTTAATTTCATTTTTGTTTGTTGTCCTCCCAAAAGGCTTCTAATGTATCACCAGACCCTTCCTTTCTAAAAAAGAAGCAGATAGAAATGGGGGTAATAATGACTAAGATCAATAATTTGGAATTATACCTAGCTTTGTTTCTCTCCCAGCCACCATATTATGCTCATTGTTCCGTATGATTTTTAACTTTTCTCTCTTAATTTTAATTTATTCTTTCCGAGTTTCAAGCGTTTCATCATAGTGGCTTGGATTTTTTCCAATCCCATGATTATCTCTCTATTAAAGCTTTAATACAAAAAGAAATAAAAAAAACAGACTGCTCATTACTTTGATTTGTAGCAAGGAGAGAATGGAACATTACCGCTAGAGTGTTTCGAGAAACCATATTTACATTTGCATCAGCTCAATTTAGGTGCCTGATTAGGTTGCGTGGTATGATGAAGATGCACTTACCAGTCAGAGGGAAGTGGCATGGTCTAGAGTAATGAGCAGGAGACTTGAAGTCAGGAGCGCTATTTCTGGCTGTGAGTGGCTACCTCTCTGACCTTGAACAAGTCCATCTCACTGCCTTGGGCCCTAATAGCCCCCATCTGCCTCACAGCACTGCTGTGACGGGTTGAGCACTTAAGTGTTTGTCCTAGTGGGGGCTATGGAGTCAAGCAAGGGAGGGGGCAGTGAGGTCACAAATGGAATTGGAGACCAGATCTCTGCTCTTAAAGCTCTTACGACTAGCCTGTTAAGAGACAGAGTCTGAGAAGTGGGCTGGTTGCTCAAATCTTGGTCTAACAGGACTTGAGGACATGGTGAGAGGTAGGCTAATGGAATTTAAAAGCTTGCCCAAAGTTGGGTGAGATAGCCAAGCCCATCCTGTTATTTAGGAAGGCTTAACAAAAGTGCATATTGTCTTTCTTCTCATAACAGTGCCATCCTGAGATTATTCATTTCATCCGCCAGGATAGGGAGCCAGCAGTGACTGGCCTCTGGAGGATGTCCTAAGGAAGGCCTGCTCAGCAATCCCTGACTTTAGGAGAAAGATTTTTACCCTTGGTGACCAGTAAATGTGTGTCCCAGAGAGATTTCATTCATCCTTTGGTTGGTTTCCTCTCCCAAAGAGGAATAGATTGAGGGGTAAAGGTTAATATGCTTTGAAATGGAAAGCAAGAGAATGACCTTTTTTTTTTCTCCTTGCCATATAGTTTGTTGGTGTGAAGCCCTCAGCAGACATTATTACAACGATAGCCCCATGGTTCTCATCTCAATACCATTCTTTCATCAGCTTTTATTTGTTGAGGACAATCCAATAATAGGTAATATCTATTAAACACTGTTCTAGGTGCTTAACATCAATTAACCAATTTAATTTTCACATCAATCCACTAGGTAGGCAACTATTATTGTCCTGATTTTATAAATAAGGACACTGGGGGACAAAACAATTAAGTAATTTGCCCAAAAATATACAGCTAGTAAGCTGCAGATCTAGGATTCGAACCCAGGTCATCTGGCTCCCGAACTTTCACTCTGAAGGACCTGTGCCTACAGGAATACAAACTTGAAGTGGACAGGGCAACAATCTCCAGGGGCCCACAGTTAGAGGCCAAAGCTATTCTACAACAACCAGTCCTCTTCCCAAAGTTAAGAGCACACTCTGATATCCAAGTAAGAATAGGTGGGATTCAGAGTTTAACATTAGAACCTTGCCATATGTTGGTTATGATTTATTCACACACACGAAGAGGAGAGCCTCCCTCCTGCTGTGTGAGAGAGCAAATGTGCTTCTGCCCCACGGGAAAATCTTATTCTCCCCCCACCATTGTTCATCTCCTTTCTTCTATGGAAGGCACAGGTGGACACCATCTGAATTCTATGTACAGAAAGCTTTCTTAAAGAAACGAGTGAAAGACTAATGCTGTTCGAAACCCAGGACTGATGTTCTCTGTACACTTTTCTCCCTGTGCCCTTCTAGACAAAACGCCCTTTCTGGTCATTGGGGATGACTCTCAGTGTATATTTTACTGGTTTTCTGTGACCACTTTCGTCAGAGTCAGCAAGGTCTTGAATTTGCCAGAGAGAACTGCCACTAGGGTCAAAAGCAGAAGGGATAAAAATGAATTCCCACAGGGATAACATAGAGCCCTACAACAGTATCCATGGATCCACCATTCTGCTTAATAACTAAAGGCAAAACTCCCAGAATGCTCCTGGAGCAGCCATGTGTGACCACTCTCTCTTCGCCCCACCAAAGGGTCACACATCAGAATGCTGCATTCCTGTCAGAATGACTGGTTACTGTTTCCCCAAGTACAGGTTCACGTGCAATAACTGACCCCAGAGAAACAGAATGGCACAGTGTAAGCGCTTGTCACAGTAAATGATCAGGAAACCATTACCAACTGATGGAACGGTTGATGGTGCAGAAGTGATTACAGACACTCCCCATGGACCGGCTCTGAGCTGCCGCCCAGGCATTCAGTGGCTGCCAGGCTTGGGGCTGGGGCTCCATGAGAAGAAAAATCTATTGAGGGAGAAGAAACGTGATGGTTTATTCCCTCTAGGTTCTATAGCCCTTTAAAGTGAATGGTGGTATTGGGATCCCCGGCCTAACATTTCAGTTCCAATATACTTAAAATATATACATATCCATTTGGTGATAACAGTGCTTCTAAAAGATTGGGATGAACTGAAAAGTCTAAGGTAAATTAAATCTTGTTTTCCTGGACTGGAGGGATTTGCTGCTTAATTCTGCCTAATTCTAGGGTAGATTTTCTCTCTTTCTCTTTCTCTGTATCTCTCTGGATGAAAAAAGAAGTTCTTTAATAAAAGAGAAGCATCATTCTGAATGACCTTATAGGAAATTTGTGGGGGGCATATGTACAGTTTCTTATATATTTACTGAAAGTTGAGTTAACCTCTTCTCATTTAGCTTCACTTGAGCAGGTGTTAACTCTGCCTCTCCCAGCCTGATTTCGCTGCATCCTGCCTCAGTGGCCCGAGCAAATTTCTTCTGTAGTCTTTGGAGGATGGCAAGGATCGGAGCCCCTGAAGCAGAGTGTGAACTGCAATCTCTTCCAAGACCAGACCGGATCCAAGCACAGTAGAAGAGAAATGGTCTGAAAGGAGAGCAGGACTTTATCCCTATTTACCTCTGCACCCATGAAGTACCAGCCCCTCAGACACATGATCTTGTTGCTCTGTCTGCATCCGTGTGTGCGAATCACGTACCAGGAGAACTGCCTCTGTAAATGGCTGCCCCAGTGGTAAACTGGGGAGTCTTCCAGTGATGAAAACCCTAAAACCTTATTTCTCAGACCCTATACTAGTCCAAACAGACTGCATGGTTATTGCAGAAGTTTAAAAAAAACTCTCGGAAACAACAACAAAAAAATGTTTCTAGAACCCAGACTCTGGAGTCTGACAACTTGGAAGCTAATCCTGGCTCCACTCTTTATTAGCTGTGTGCCCTTTGGCAAGTTCCTTAACTTCTCTGGACCTCACTGAACTCAATTGTAAAAAGTGGATAATAACTGTTCTTCCAGCATAGGGTTCTTGTAAGGATTAAATGAGCTGATGTGCATAAGACATGTAAAGTGCTAAATTGAGCAAGAGGGCCCCAAATTTCAGTATGTTCATAGGATTAAAAGTGCATGCACCAAAATGTTAATAATAGCAACCTCTAGTTGCTAAAGGAACAAGTGATTTTTCTGGTTTTATTTCTTTCTGTGCTTTTTCATATTTTCTTTCTTTTTGTTGCTTTTAGAAACTCATTTGTAATTGGAAAATAAATGTCTTTGATAAAAGGAAAAAACTTCAGCAAAGCTCCCAGGGTTGTCTGAAGACCACCAGCAAGGTGAGGACAAAAGAGCCATGACAACAGGGTGAGTGGGCAGAGGGATGAAGGGGGAAGTTTTTATTCAGAGATGCACTCCCAGGAGCCCTGAGGCTCTCTGAGTCACCGGGGTGAGGATTTCGAGAAATTTTCTCCTTTTGAAGTGCTAGTCCAGCAGCCGGGAATATATACCTGGTTTATCCCTCATCAGATGGACCTGGCCAGTCTCACGTCTAACTTTCAGCTCTGATGCTCCCAAGGATAGGTCTAAAGGGCCAAGAAGATCCAGCCCTTTTCCACCGGCAAGGCCAGCCGAGGCTGTGGTGGGGCCGAGGGTCAAGGGAGGCTTGGCCCCTGACCCTGCAGGTCTCCCCAGACCTCCCAGACAGGAGCTGGAGCCGCCCTTCCTTCATTTGCCTGGCTAGGTAATTACAGCTCATAAAAGTATCTAACCCATTAGTTAAAACCCGGCCCCAGCATTTGACTCTGACCTCCTGCGGCAGCACGGGCCACACGCTGACTCCATGCCTCCTGTTTTGTCCTCAATTTATAAGCAGCACAACCTATAAATAGAAACCCTTTTGCTATGTTCCCCCAGGAGGCATCAGCAGGTTTTCCAGCTTGTATGTGTTTTCTTCTTTCTTTTTTTAAAAACCAACATGGTAGGCTTGTTTTCCCGGCCGGCTGCTCCCCCACCCGCCCTTCTAGTTCAGTCTGGGGGGCGCGGGAGTGGGCTCAGTGGGCGGAGCACTGCGCAGCGGCCCGGGCTGGCCAGGGTTCTGAGGGGTGCCCCTGCCGCAAGCCGGGGGGGGGTCCCCCCGCCCCCGCCCCCCACTCACCTGTAGATCCTGTACCTGGTGGTGAAACCCTGCCGGTAGCGCTCCATGAAGTCAGCGTACTCCTGAGCGCGGTGGAACGGGCCGCGGTCGCTGAGGAGCCAGTCCAGGGGCGGCTGGCCGGCGGAGGAGGCATACTGCTCGGGGAGCGCCGCGGCGGCCGTGGCCGAGACCGCCAGCACCCAGCCCGGGAGGCCCAGCGCCAGCAGGGTTGCCCATGGAGCCGCCGCCGGCCCGAGCCCTCTAAACCGAGTGCCGCACTGCCGCCTCATGCTTCTCCCAGCCGGTTGGTTTCTTCATTCTCTCGCCACGCTCTCCGCCTCTGTGCCGCTCCTCCAGGGCTCCCGGAACTAGAAAAGTCCAACACCGAGATGTCAGCGGAGCACCCTGGTCTCAGCCCAGTGGCCCGTGCGCGTCGGACCTCGTCGGGCAGGGCCCGTTCTAGAAAGCCCTTACGCTAACAACACCTCTGCATTCTAGGCACTGAGCAGAGTGCTTGATGGAGATCTGCTTTAATTCTTAAAACAATCCTCGAGGAAATGCCACCGTCACCATTTTGCGGGCGTGAAGATGGGGTTGAGGAAGAGGAGGAAAGTGGCTGAAGTTCATGCAGCTTTTAAGTGAAGAAACCAGAATTTTGAACTCTGGTCATCTGACCAACCTTTACAGTAAACTGCTTCTGTGTTTCCTATGTTGACTCAACACCATCTGCTGCTTCTGTCTTCCTCTCTCAAAATGTTCACTATGTGTCAGTAATAGCCCCGCAGAGTGCGTGCTGCCTCTAGAAGCTCGAGGGAAGGTGAACAGCCGCCCCACTTCTCAGGTGGCAAATTGTGGGGCAGAGAAAGTAGTAAGGTCCCATGGCTGCCATGATGCTGGGTGAACTCGAGCACATCCCTTCCCTCCTCTGGGCTTAGTTTTGTCTTATAAAGAACAAAGAGGCTTGACTACATAATATCTAAGAATCCTTCCAGTTTCCAATATCTGATCCTTTCTCTTACAGAAGGCCATTCGTGAATGGAGTTAGAATGGGCAATCGGATTGCCCATCACCATCATCAGAGAGCAGATCCGTGTATACACGACACCTGTTCTGTCTCTCCGCACAGCATGAAAGCTCCCTGAAGGCAGGGTTGGGTATCCTTCTATCCTAGCTCCTGAGAGCAGACAGCAAGGCTTTAGAGACCCTTCTTGAAGGAGTGAATGAGTATGTACCCTGTCTTCTCTAAGTAGAAGGGAAGGTGCCAAGAAAGAAGATTCTAGCCTTCAAAACTCTTGGCTGCCTTGGGACTCCTCATAGGCCTTTGATTTCCAGGGTCTGCACTTTGCTTAAGAATAACTAGATCATCTTTATAAACCCCTGGGCAGATGCAGGGGACTGATTCAATACTGTGGGGGTCCTTACAATTGCATTCATTCCTTTGATCTTTAACAGCACGTGCCGTCAGAGTCTTGCCTCTCCCCTCGCCAACACCACTTCAGTGCTAGAATGTGCTGGAATGACTTCCAACCCCAGTGCCTGTAATTTGTGGCTTTGAGGACTTTCTCTGGCTGCCAAAACCAAAGATAGGCTCCCTGGGGATGAAGCAGGGGGTGTTAATTCTCTGGCACTTTCCAGGGTCCTGTAAGGGCAGGCCAAGTGGGCTTCAGTATTTCATTCACACCCCCTCCCAGAGTCCCCAGTGTTCTCTGTAACGGCTCCAGTTCAACAAACTTCCCTTGGACCAGTATGAGTCCTGAAGAAGCTGCTCAGAGGCGGGACCAAGTATTAATGCTGGACACTCCCAGCCTAGAGGCTGACCGGAGTCTGAGAGACCCAAGCCTCAGCATTTGTGCTTTCAAAAGAGTTGTGGCCCCTGCTCATAAGGATGAAGGGACAGAAGCATGAGCATCTGCACATCCCTCCAGGTAAGAGGGATTGCCCACCTACTATGTGCTGGGTGATTCTTAGAAGCTGCCCCAGTCAATTCTCACAGTAAATTTGTGATAAAGCATTATTGTTATCGGTTTACTTCTCACTGGGACTCAGCGGAGTTGAGCTAGGGAGATACAGAGGTAGAATGTGAACCTAGATCTATCTGGCTCCATATCTAGACCTTACCAAAAAGGCTGAGCTACCTAGGGAGCTGGAGAAGCAGCAAGACAGACCCTTGTTTCATGAACTGGTCGAGAAAGAAGCCCAAAAGAAGAAGAATAAGGTCACACCTGCCCTACTGGGTCTTAGAACGTATTATAAAATTCTAATCATTAAAATAGGTGCTACTGGCACACAAATTGGATGGGCAGATCGATGATGTAGAACAGATAGCTCAAAAATAGAGCTTATTGTAAACAAGAACTTAGAATATACACACATATATAAAAACATTTCAGACTAATTGGGTAGGGGATGGAATATTTTAAACATCATTTTGGGAAATTAGTTCCAGATGGATTAAAAAGTTAAATATAAAAAATAAAATCATAGAAGGAAGAAAAATCCCAAGTGTTTTATAACAAGCAATGTATTACTTTTAAATCGGGGGGAAGTGATATAAACTAAAAGGAGTAGCCTGGCACATGGGGGGCAGGAATTTTTTTTACAGGATGTAATCTGATGAGAATGCCCCAAACATTTCTCATTTAATCATTCACACATTCATTTCTTGAGAAACATAAATTGGGAACTCCAAAGTGCCAGACACTATGCTAAGTGGTGATAATACAAAAGCAAGGGTTCATTGCATTATCTGAAACTCTGTTGGTGATTCGTTCCTCTTATAGAATATTGTTCAGTTTTTAAAAGCATATTGATGGGGTCGGGGGTGGGAGAAGGTTCATCTTGGAGACTGGGGCTACTTGACGCCACAGGCCAAGGCAGCAAACACAGCAAGGTGGAAACGCACTGACGAGGGGAGAACACTGTGGAAGGCAGGATTTGAAAACAGCCCCCAAGATTCCCATGTCCTTCTGTGCACACCCTGCATAATCTCCTCCCTTTGAGTGTGGGCAGGACCTGTGAATACGGTGGGATACTACTCCCATGATCAGGGTACTAATCAGTTAACTTTGAGTTGTTTAAAAAGGAAAGTATCCTTGGTGGGCCTGACCAAATCAGGAGAATGAGACCCCGCCCCCCCCCCCCCCGCCTTTAAAAGAAAGTGAAGTGTCAGAGAGACAAGTTCCTGCTGACGTGGAAGAAGGCAAACAGTCATGCTGTGAACAGCCTTCCGGGGTCATGCAGCGAAGGATTGAGGGTAGCCTCTAGGATCTGAGAGCAATTCTCTGTCAACAGCTAGTAAGAAAATGGGAACTACTCAGACCAGCACAAGAAAACAAATTCCGCCAACAGCCCCATGAGCCTGGAAGAGAACCTTGAGCCCCAGGTAAGAACCGCCTCCCTGGCTGACATCTTGATTTCAGTCTGGTGAGACCTTGGGCAGAGGACCCAGCTAACCCCTACCTGATACCGCAAGATCGTAAATGTGTATTGTTCGATGCCACAAAGTTCGTGGTAATTCATTCCACAGCAATAGGAAAATAATACAGACAACATGAAAGATGGTGATACCCCTCTCCCATTCTGTGCACAGCCTAGTCTGGAGAGGGGTTTCCGCACTCCCTGAGTAAGACCAGCTGTTATTCCCGGCAGGTGAAAAAGCTAGCGTGGCAGTTTCCCAAGCAGAGTGAGGCTGCTCACCTCCCCCTCCTACCTCCCACCCCGTCTAGATTACAGACCCCTCAAGGTCAGAGGTCAGATAATTGTTTTTGTAACTCCAGCCCTCACACATAGTCAGTCCTCAAATGTATGTGATAAACCAATCCCGTGCATTTTATAGAGGGATCACGGTGAGCCAGGGACAACACGTGGCCTTGGCCCAGCCCCTGAACCTCTTGTGCCCTGTGCTATCACTTGGGGGTGGTGGCTGCCACCTCCCATGCCGAGCAAGAGTTTTCTAAGGACAGGTGTGAAAAGCTGTGCACTCTTGGAAAGAAATGAGATCTATTAAGTCAGTGTGTGCTCTTGTCATTCTGTGTTTGTAATTATGCTTTTTCAGAGCTCACAACGTACTGGAACCTGCCTGGTTATAGGAGTATCAGCTTTACAATCAAATGGTTTTGATTGCTGGGCCAAGTCTGCTGAGTGCAGCAAGAATGCCTGAATTCAGTGCTGACTGAATCTCTGATACACTTGGCCTTGGAATCATATGGTTTCTGCTTCATTGCTTTTCCTCGGGATCTGAAGACGTTTTGACTAAAAAATCTCTCTTTAAGAAAAAGAAGTTTTAAACTGGTTTCAAAACTTTCTTAAAAAAAGAAACCTCTAGAAAGTGTTCCTTCACCTTTAAAAAAAAAAAAGACACAATAATTGCTGCATTTGACAGTTGTGTGAAAATTAGGCTCTTTGAGGGGAACAGCTTTGGGCCACTTCCTGTTTATGCTCCACAAATAATATCACTAGAAATTTGGTAACAGCAAATGTCCAGCAAATTTTAACTATCGAAATTCTTGTGGCTTCTGGGGTTGTGGCTAATATTCAGTGGTTAAAACAATTAACACCTTCCCCACAATGCTTCCAAGGATCGTCTTATCCTAAAGCTGGCTATATAAGTAAACCTCCATTTACATGTGAATGTCTTAACGTCATGGCTGAGTTAACTCCTTGAGGAAAAAAATTATAAATTTACTTGTGAAAGCCAAATAATTCCATTTCACTTATACTATACTTAAGACAGAGTTTTACACCGACACCAATAATAAATTAGCTTTGGACCAAAGGCACAAGTAAAATAAGTTTGCTGAGCCGTGAAGGAAATGGATTACGCTTTTGCCAATAGAGGAAATCAAGTGCAGACAAAGTTGCACGAGAAGCAGGCAGTGCAGCCTTTAAAATGGGAGAGCTTATGAGACCCAGAGCTCCACCACTCTGACATGTCACCGAGCCGAGGACCCGTGGGGACCGTGCTGTGTCCTCCTGGTGGTCTCAGTCTCCATTTATGCTGGGTGTGTCGATACGCAGAGCAGTTAGGATTTGAGGCAGCCACTGCTCGCGTGCTAAATCTTGGCGAGGGAGATAGGAGAGTCTCCTCTTTGAAAATCATTCTAGAGGAGAGGTCACCTACTGGAAGAGTTGAGGGTACAGCCAAGCTAAGCTATTGTTAGAAGCCAGGAGAGAAGGAGAAATAGACGGGAAATTAATATTATAAGTAACAAAATTGCTCATGTCATTAATAAGTGCCAGCATAAATCACTTAGTATGTGCATGGTGGTTATGGCTCTTAAAGCACAAGATG